CAGTAAAAAAAAAAAGGCTGCTACTGATTGTCGATGACCCCCCCAGGCATAAGCTTTTTTTTTTTTAGGCCTCAAGACTTCCTTTATTTTTTTTCATTAAATTTTTATTTTGTCAATATACAATGTATATGATTATTATGGCCCATCACCGACACCTCCCTCCCTCCTCCCTCTCTCCCCTCCCCCCCAAAAATGTCCATTCTGTTTGCTTGTTGTAACAACTTCAAAAAGGTATAGTTGTTATATCTTCTTCCCCCACTCCCCGGTTTTTTTTGTGTGTGCATGTTCTCACTCATTGGTGGGAGCTAAAAAATAAACAAATTAATTCACCCACATACATACACAGGCATAAGCTTTGATGACCTCCCTGCCTGCGGGGATTTTGTGTGGTGATGAGTTGCGGCCAGTGTCGTAGGTAGTGTGGGTACCCTGCAAGGGAGAGAAGGATGGAGAAAGGGGACATGAAGCCAAGAGTCTCTCTTTCCTCTCTGCACCTCAGTTTCCCCATCTGTAAAAATAGGGGCTTTGGAATGAGAATCTCCAAAGATTCTTTTCTGCTTTTTTGTTAAAAAAATCCATATTTAATGACACATGTAATATATTATTCTATTCTTATAAGAATGCTAAACATTATAGGTAACTGCTCCAACTGTGTCCTGCCTTCACTCTAACCCTGCCCAGTCCTAGACCTAGTCTTCCCTACAGTAACCAGGGGGATACATATGTGTGAATCTTCCCCAGACATTTTTCTATGCACTGACATAGTGTGAGCTTGTAGAACCTTTAAGGTATCGTATTGTGGGTTTGTTTTATTATAATGAAATATATTTTGAGTTAGTGGGAAACTTATTTCTTCAGGTAATGTATAAATTCAACTCAATCAATGTGATTTTTCACAAAGTTAGAGTAATCTAGGTAAAATATTAATGTAATTTAAAAACTAAAATATAATGTTGATTTTTGTACCAGTTTCACTTATTATATATAAATCTGTTCATGTCAACACTATAATTTTGCTCCTGAAAGCTTAGTATAAAATGTAATTCTATTCTTCTTTTAAAATTATGAACTTTTATTATTTATTATAAACACGACTCTGTATATATGCATACATATATATACCTACATATATAGAGAGAGACCTATAAAGGTATATAAAAGGAAAAGAGAAAGTTCTCTTCTCAGCCCCCGCCCATCATTCTCTCTCAGAACAAAACATTGTGTCCATGTTCTGTGGAAGCCTCCAGAAATCACATTTCACATGTACGGTCTTCCCCAGTTCTCACCGTGTCTTCCTTTAACATCTGGTGTGTGTGCACACATATGTGCACGTGTTCATTTGTTCACAGCTGGGGCAAGAGAGTGCAAGTGTGCACCTTTTGTGCACTTAGCATCATGGTGCACATTTTGTTGATTCCACTTTATGGGTCAGGATGCCGAGGCTTGGCGATATGAAATAACTCACTCAGGGTCTTATGGCTGGTTAAGTGACATAGCCACTCCAAAGGCAAACTTGCTTTTTAGACACTCTAGTTGTCTCGTTATGGAAAGTCTCTCTTTATTGGGAGACTCAAGGGAACTCTCAAAATTAATGCTAAGCCTCAAGGAAAATAAAGGAGGACTGGAGGGGCGAAGATGAGATCTAGGAATGACCCTAAAATTATATCCCTGATGTTAAATCCCTGCCTCCCTCTGGGGATCACAGCCAGCAGATGCAGGAAGCTGACCAGGTGTGGGATTCACTCACTGCTGTGGCCCCTCAGTGGGACTTCGGGAGACCCAAGCTCCCCAAGCTGGGGGAATAGGTCTGGTGTTGGAAGACATTTGAGCTTGGAAGCAGATCGCAAGTTCTACTTTCCAGGTCTCAGGCTTCCACCCATCTGCCCGGGGCTTGCCTATTTCTTGCCATTTACCTGGACACAGGTCCTTGCAGTTGCATCATTGGCTGACTCCTTTTGAGTCACATCAGCATCATGGGAAATTTGGAGTATTTGGTGCTTGCATGCTCAGAAATCCTCCTGGAAAGCCATGAGGAACTGGGAGCAGCGGTCTATGCGCTCTGTCCTCTTTCAATAGAAGAGGTGCCCTTCATGAGTTAACCTCAGTGAAAAGAGAAAGAATAGTTACTATTTACTGGTGCCTCTGATGTGCCAGGTGGTGTGCTGAGTACTTTGCTTTGACACTTCATCTTCATAACACTGGGTGAGTTTGGACCTATCTTGAACCTTAGGTAATTTGCAAGAGGACAGAGAACTCAGTGGTGGAGGTGGCACTTGAGCCCTAACCTGCTGACTCCAAAGCACAAACTTTGTGCTATGCACGGGGCTTAGACACAAAACAAGCAAAACAGACCATTATCACATGGTAGAAACAAGTTCATTAGCTGCTCTGTCTTTTGTGAGCATTTCTGTTCTTAAAGCTAATTATATCTTTGATTAGTGTCTTTTAGCTATTTAGTGAAAACATTTGACTTCTTAGGGTGAAATTTTTAAAAAATTATGAAATCTGAATTTACATTGGAATGTAAATATAACCAGTCACTTACCTGGTGGCAGAGGCTTACTGCACCCAAAGTTTTTCAAACTATGAATCATGGTTCATTAGTGGATTGTGAAATCACTTCAGTGGGTCATGATCAGCATTTTAAAGACTAGAGTAGGATAAGATGGAATAGAATAGAAAAATATCAGTGCATTGCACACAGCAAGGATAAATACCTTTTGTGTAATTTTTATTTTCCTTATATATGTATATGTGCCTCAATGTAAAACACATTTCCTACTGTATGTCATAATTTTAAAAGTTAGCTTTGGAAAGACAAACGTGAACAGATGCATAGTTTATTAAGTTGCTCCTTGTTCTTTTCTTCGACATGGCCTGCCCTTGAGTCCTCACAGAGCTGCCCTTAGGCCATCTGCAGAGAGGCATTTTCAAGAAGAGTTTTCTGGACAGATCTCTGTGTTCATCTTTCCCCAGATCCTTGATTAGATGGATGTGCCTATTAGATTCAAAACATGTTTGGGACATTCAGGGAAGGCAAAGTGACATTTCTAAAAGCTGTGGTGAGTTAGTAGCAGAGGTGGAACCAGAATTAGATTATTTATGGATTCTTTGCCGACTGGAAGAAGGAGGAGCGAGCACTGGCTCTCACAGCAAGGTCAGTGAGCAGCTGTTCTTCATAGAAGGAGCTGGAGAACAAGAGAAATGGGCTTGCATTGCAGCAGCGGGATTGGGCTGAACCCAGGGAAGGACTTCCCCGTGGTGAGGAGCGGGGGCTTCTTCCTCTTCTGGGGGCAGCACAAGGATAGGTGAGTCCGTATTTTTCCCACCCCAAGATGTACTGCTCACTTTGCTGCACTCTCCTGTCTCCTGTTGGCAGCAATAACCTGGAGCTGGCCGTGCTTCTGTCCTTAGCCAAGGCTGGATAGGACGGATCCCGTGTGCTCCGCCGGGCTGCAGTTAGCTTTGCTTTTCATCCGGATGTCAACCCAGGCTTGCGACAGCTGGGATCAGCTGTTGGGAGAGGGGGAGCCGGCAGTGGAGGGGGCAGCTCCTGGCCTCTTGCCCAGTCCTGGTTGGATGCAGTGTCCACCTCTCGGTTTGCCTCTTTCTGTAGCTCACTCTGTCGCTGTGCCTTTTACTTGTGCCTTTCCTGTGTGCATCTCTTTTCCTTTCTCTTTTTTTCCCTTCTTCTTCTCCCGTCTCTTGGAAAACTGGAAGCCGCTATACTTTTACATGGATCTCTTAGAGTGGCTGGTTCATTCAGGAAGGGACTGGAGAGCACCCGTTTCTGAGTCCCCCACCCCACGCTGCAGCTGTTGGCGAAGTGCTCTAGAATAAAGGAAGAAAAGCCTGAATTCAGCCAGGCTGGATTTTTACCTTCGTTCCACCTCTCACTGGCCACAAGGCCCAACAGTAGAACTTCTCTGAGCCCTGGGTTTCTTCTGTGTTATGCAGGGACAGCAATGCTTGTCTGAGGGAGGTGTTGTGTAGACTCAATGAGGCCATGTTCAGAAAAGCCCCTTGCTCAGGACTGACACGCACCGCACCTTCAACATGCGAAGTTTTCTTCCCTGGACCTCTCTGGACAGAGTCCCTGTGCTTCCTTCCTCTACAGCCACACCCACTGCATGGTGGCCGGTCACCTCCTACCTCGTCCTCCAGCTCAGGGCCTGTTGTGTTTTCAGGAGCATCTAAGATTTTGCTGAATCCCGTAGAGAAAACCATTCCATAAAGAACCTTAGTTCTGGTACCAGATTTTGTCGTTTTTCCAGGCTTAGAAAAATGTGAGTCTAAGCAAATGAGCTAGTTTGAACACGAGTCATTCCGGAATGGGGGTGAAAAGGCAGGAGTGAGGGAAAACCCAAGGTTTCTCTGCAAGTCTGAGAAACAGGCATGAGCTCATGTCAGGCATTGGACATTTTGCTTTTTAAGCCATGTGGGCAGATTATGAAGATGGTTAGTAAGACAGGACACCGACCAACTATGACAATTACCGACCCTCTCACCCACAGCACGCCTGGCCTTCAGCTTGGTCTGGGTCAGCCTTCCTTTTGGTTCAGGAAAGCAGCCATGGAGCAAGGCAAGCCCCAGGACCGCCTGCTGGCACCTGCACTTCAGGAGCCCACAGCTGCTGAGCACCTCTCACAGCCCACAGGCTCATGGGGAGCGACAAGGGACCCACTGGCCTGGGATACTCTCATGATCCCTGGGCTCCTCTGGGAGTCTAATTCTGAAGCCAGAGGAAGCTTTGGGGAATGTCGGAGAGAGAGCAGGAAAGAGACATTTCTAGGCTGACAGTGGCTTTTTTTGAACTTTGGTCCTTTGGTTCCATAGACATTTGTTGGTTGGGCCATGGATTTCCCTGCTCTGCCCCCCGTTTCCCGAGTCTGGGAGCCAAGGGCTTGGCTGCTGCTCCAGTTCTTGAGGCGGCACCTGGAGGAGTACCATCCTTTCCTCCATCTCCTCCCAGTCTTAACACTGCATTTCTCTTTGGGCAGGTTTAAGGATTACCGCGAGCCGCCATGGGCCCCGAACCCATATGAGTTTTCCAAACAGTACTGGTTCATTCTGTCTGCCCGCCTGGCCTTTGTCATAATCTTCCAGGTGAGTTGCTTGGATAGGAAATAGCTGAAGAGAATGCAGTCTGCAGAGGTGAGGACAGGCAGGACTCAGCACCTGCCCTGCACTCACCCCGCCACAGGGGCCTTCACATACAGCAGGTGGAGGTGAGGCCCCTTCCCTGGGGAAGAGGACTCAAGAGAGGTGCCTTTATTGGATGGACTTTGCAGAAAGAGAACAAAACACAGAGTAAGGTTACAAGGCAGATGTGCAGTAAGTTGCAAGGTGGAGATAGATTTCCACTTTAACCTAAGAGGGGAAGGGGAAGTGGGAAGGCCACGTGAAACCCGAGTCTCGGCCGTGTGCAGACAGACAGCCCCATCTCATCTCTGCAGCCCAAGAAAGGGCTCCAGCTCTGGACCTTTCTTCTCATGCTCTTGGCTACCTCCTTTGTGAGTGCTGTTTTAGCCACGGAGACATCTGGTGGGGAGGGCCCCCAGAGCCATCTAGCCATCCCTGAATGAATAGCAAACTCGAGCCTGTGATTCCTATCTGTGACAAAAGCCGCAGCTCCAATTGCACCGCGGAGATTCTCTGAGCTTGGGGCCCCCAATTCCCACTCCCCGTCCTGCCAGTTTTCAAGCAGGGCCAGAGCACAAGCCCAGATCCTTTTCTCCTCGGCTCCCTCAGGCTTTTGTATTCCCTGAAGGCAGATCTCCGGAGGCCTCTAAAGTATCCTGCCCCCGGACCCCAGCCCAGGAAGTGGAGAAGCCCATCGGCTAGTCTTTCACCTAAAGAAGACAGCCATTCTTCCCTGGGAGAGATGGGGTGATACGTTTGAAAAGTGGCTCAGACGTCCCTGCTGCAGCCCCCGCAGGAGTCTCTCACTTTCCCCTGCGTCACATGTCGCATCTCACTCACGCCATAAGGAGTTGGTTTGGAGGGAGAGTGTGTGACTCGACGAAGCTGCTCTCGAGCACCTCAGGCTCCCGAGAGCCTCTGGAAGCAGCAGTTGGTCCCCAAAGCCTTCCTCTGATCCCCTGGGGACATGTAGGGTGTGAGGGATCAGTCACTGTCCTCAGGAGTTCAGAGGGGAGAATACACATGAGCGTATAATTGGCAGCCAGAGAAGAATATCACAATTGCAGTGTGTACCGGGTCAAGTGCGGGTGAAAGGTGGCTTGGAGAAATGGGCGAAGATCAGGTTATAAATATAGCTGGCATTCACTGGGCCATGCCAGGCGCTGTTGTCACATATCCCATCACTAGAAAAAGACAGTGCTCCCAGGAAAAAGTGGCCCCAGACCACCTGCATACACAGGGGACAGGCTGTGGTTCAGCAGCCAGAAGGAGGAAGCCCACTGCACATAGGCACCAAAGCTCAGAACGGGTCAAGGGGGTGCGGGATGTGGGGTCCAGACGGTGCGTCTGGCTAGAGTGGCCGTAATGAACAGAGAGCAGAGGAAGGTGAGTGTGAGTACCGCTGCGGTCACCTGAGGCCAGAAGTCAGTCCAAAAATCGAAGGGCCATCTCTGATGCAGAGGACAGAGAGCAGCCACAGTCCTGGTGACAGCTCTGGAGAGGCCACTGGGCTTTGTAGCCACCTCCCAGGAAGCTCTGGAGCAGGGCGTGCGTGGAGGCTTAGCAGCTGAGAAGCATGCACAGGACGTGTGAGAGCACTGTGGGGTGGGACGGGACACTACAAGCCCCCCACGAGGGAAGAAGCAGCAGCTCCACTGTGACCTCACTGTGTGCCACTGTCACAGACGTTCCTCAGGTATGAACTCATCGAATCCTTACAACACCCCATGGGCAGGTGCTGCCACTATTCCATTTTATAAATGAGGACACCGAGGAATAGTTATGCCCACCGGTCAAGACCTCTCAGCTAGTAAGAGTAGAGGCAGGCGTTCTGCTCCAGGGTCTGCCACCACACCATGCCACCAGCACCCCTCAGGGACAGTCCCTCTGACGGGGCCAGGGAGGACAGGGCCCGCCAGGCCAGGCTGTCCCTCACCCCCTCTCCCTTGCTTTTGGTAGAACCTCGTGATGTTCCTGAGCGTCCTCGTGGACTGGATGATCCCGGATATCCCCACGGACATCAGCGAGCAGATCAAGAAGGAGAAGAGCTTGCTGGTGGACTTCTTCCTTAAGGAGGAGCACGGGAAGCTCAAGCTGACAGACGAGCCGGCGCGGAGGAGCCGCGGGCCGGAGCACGCGGGCAGGAGCCGGACGGCCAGCACGACACCCTCAGGCCGTAGCCGGCCGGGCAGCGTGTGGTCCTCGGGCTCCCAGCACACCAGCGTGTGAGCCACCTGGCCCCGCCGCAGGGTGCTGCCGGCTGCCTGCACCCGGCCTGAGGGGTCTGGAAGAGGGAGTGTGTGTGAAGAGACAGGGAATGAGTGCAGGAAGGAAGAGAAGTCAGGTTGCTCCTCAGGAACTTGCAGCTTCGGTTTCTTTAGGTCTTTGAGCTGTATCCTTTTGGGGGACTGGCACGCCACCGGGCTCTCCCGTTCTCCCTGGGGTGTCCTCCAACACTTCACCATCTTTCAGATGACCGCAGCCTGTGATGGAAGTGCAGTCAGGACCCTGTCCTAGACCCATCAGAAGTGATCGCCACCCCCTTCCTACTGTCACCCGGAGGAAACGTCTCTGAGTCACTTGCAATGGGGCTGTCACAGCCTCAGCAGATGCAATTAAGTGACAGGGCTGATCACTGTGGTCACTGGACCTGTTGGTGAGGAGCAAAGGTCCAAACCTGGCCTGTCTCCAATTCATGTCACAAGGACCATTGGAGCTAAATGCAACTAATCATCACTTTATGCAAGTTCCGATTTAAAGTAATGAAATAAATGGAAGCATCTTTATAAAGATGTGTCTTGTCTGTGGTACCTTGTCTCTCCTTCCTTCCCCCCCCTTCCTTCCTTCCTTCTCTCTCTCTCTTTTCCCCTCCCTCGTCTCCCTCTCTTTCTTTGTTTCTAGTATTATTGTGCATATTTATTGAGCTCCTACTATGTGCCAGGCATTGTTCTCAGACAAGAGATACAACAGAGGACAAACGAGACTAAGTCCCTGCCTCTTAGAGCTGACATCCTAGAGAGAGACAGACAATAAGCTAATAAACGTATAGTGTTTTGGATAGTAAGGGCTATGGAGAAATACAAGGTAGACAAAACAGACCGGAGGCATGAGGGCGCAGGCCTTGAGCGGTTCACCACTTTACATGTGAACTAATGGCAAGCCCAGGATGGCGAAGAGGCCACCTCTTGCAGTGCTGACACGATCACTTGGTAGCAGCCTCCCAGAGCTCTAAGCTGGGAAGATTTTCATGTGCAGTTGGAACGAAGGGCCAAACATAATTCGTCATTGCTGTCCCCACACCTCAATCCCACCCACGGCCCAGAAATCAGTTGCACACTCACTTCATGCAGACCCATCCCCCATTCCTTGCAGGTCAGTCTGAGTGGAGTCTAACTGAATGCCTGAATGGACGCAGCAAGAAGGGCCACACAGACGAGAAACGAGAGTGTGGCCCTGGTGCTTCTGCACAGCTGGCAGTGAGAGGGCCTGCAGGTGCTGGGCTGCCATCAGCGCCGTCCACCATCGTTTCTGGCTCCCTCCTGGGCACATGCAGCTTTGCACTGACCACCAACCCTTGCTCTGCTAAGCAGCCCTTTCTTTTGCAGGGATAACAGGGCATAGACACAGCTCTCAGTGCGAGTGCAGGTAACCATGTCCCAGGCCACTCAGGTACAAGTAATCCTACAATTAAATATAATTACGTCACATCTTAACATTTAAACTTACCATTTTGAGTCTAGGTTAAAACTCCAGTAGTATAAAAACGTTGCATTATCTTACAACAGGCTTCAGCTAATTTAAGGAAAGTGAGGTGGCCAATGGGAGGGACATTTTACTTCAAGGAGCATTCATGACGTGGAGCTGCCAGGCCCATGAAAAGGAGGATGTCTGCAGGAAGCAGTGATGGTCAGCAGTCAGGGGTTGCCTCCATCACCAAGACACCCGCTTGGCCCCAACCAGGCCACATCCAAGCCCACTGGCTGCCCATGGCTCGTTCAGGACCCCACCTCTTTTTCTTCTTTTTTAAATTAAAATAGACATTTTTATATGATCATAAAGGTAAAACTTGTACACCAACAAAGATTGAGACAGTCCAAAAAACAATGGAGAAAAAAATAAAATTAACAGAATCCCTAAATCTATAATCACCATCAACAATTGCCGTGTCTTCCAGACTCTCGTTCTGGCTCATACACATTTTGTTTCCTTGCAGTTATGCTATATTTAGTGTCTTGTTACCTTTTTTCACTTCATGTATCTCATCGATCCTCTTATCCCAGTAAATACAGATTCATTCAGTACTTTTGAACACCTACTAAGTGGCAGGCTCTAGGTTAGGCACTTGGGATATATCAGCCCACAAACTAGATTCCTGTCCACGTGGAGCTCTGTCGTGGGTCAGAAAGACAGGCAATGAAAGTAAACTGTATAGTATGCTACAAGGTGGTAATGCTATGGGAACAAAAAAAGGGGCAAGGTAAGAGGAGGGATTGATCGTGGGGCTGGGGCTCCATTTTACTCCATTATGTAGATGGGCCTTTGCCTTGTTCCTCTCCTGCCCACCCATCTGCTAACTGACTGGGTGTGGAAGCTTGTGGTGGCCAAAGCTCATGCCCTCGGGACCAGGTAAGACAGAGGTCCCTGGGGAGGTCTAGATGGCCACATGCAAGTTTCCACTCTGAAAGGACTCAACTTTCTGCCCATCTCTCACAACAGGCAAATTAGTAATTTTACAATTTGTCCCTATCTGCAGGCCCAGATAATCCCAGGAGCACCCATGTTGCTAGCAAGACCACCACATGTGCCTGCTTTACCCCAGCAGCAATGGCAGTGTAGGCTGAGTAAGAAGGAGTGCTTTCCAAAAGACTGTTAACCTGGGTGGAGAGTTGGTAGGTGCAGCCTTAATTCAAAAAACAAAACAATGAAAACTCCTTCCCTGAACTCTATAAGGAAATAATACAATTTTTTATACCATTGTAACATGCAAAAAAAAAAAAAAAATCATGAGCAAAAATCTGAAACACTGAGGAAAGAAAAAGAATCACTTGTTATCCTATTACTCTACTCCAGAAATAATAATAATTAACATTTTGGTTTAAGTGTATTTGTGTTTCTGTGGAGTCAGATACATTGATTTGCAGGAGCATTTATTTTGTTTAATTATAAAAGTGATACATGCTCATTGAAGATTTAGAAAATGCAAAAAAGTAAAATGTAAATTAAAAAAAAAACATTTAAATCACCCCAATTTTCACTGCCAAGAGATAATTTACAGTCTTTTTCCTATTCACTCATTTTCAGGTACAGTTGAGATCACTCTGCACACATGAACTTTTTGACTTAGTTAATAGGAGAACATCTCCAAGCCTGAGGTAGATAGAGGTGGTTATGAAGAAGGGCTTAGTGACACAGTGTCTACACTGCAATGGTTCACTGATCGCTCTTTATGAAGAATAAAAGTAAATGGAATCAACTGGGTGGTTGATTGAAATAAATGAACTTGGTGGATATTTTCTTTATGTGCTCTTTGTAGAAAAGGAGAGTAGGAGATAAAAGACGGGTCTTTTCTTCACGTTTCCCTCTTAGCAGCTCTTCCAGATCAGCATGGTCGACTGTAATCCCACCTGTGCAAATGGAAGGATGCTCTTCTCAAGAAGGCTTTTAAAGAGGCAAAAAATCACCATCATATTTCTGCTCAATAGAATGGCCATGATTTTGCTTTATCTAATATTGCTTTTTCATGAAGTCCTTTGTTTTGCTAATCATCCCAGCACAATATTCTAACCTTGTAAATAGATTAGCCATTGTTAAGATGAATAGAAACAGGCCATTTGCTCTTCTGAGTGGTCATTAATTATAGAAGGAGATTCCACCAGGATATGGACGGCATTTCTAGGAGCAAGGAAAAGAAAGAGATGAAAAAACCTTGGCACCAATCTTTGCCCCATGGCTTCTTAGAGACAGACAACTAAGCAGGGTTTGGGGTTAAAACTGAATTAGGAACGCTCTTTGGCCTTCATATATTGTCATATTCATCCTTTAGTTGGCCAGAGTACACACTCAGGTTAAAATAAATAAAAAGAAAGAAAAGTTAAAAAGGTGGTGTTAAGGGCCGGCCCGGTGGCGCACCGCTACAGTGCGCCGCTTGGGAGCGCGGTGGCGCTCCCGCTGAGGGTTCGGATCCCACATACAGACCGGCCACTCACTGGCTGAGCGAGGTGTGGGTGCAGCACCGAGGGTTG